ACACGGTATTGTGAATACAATCTTTGGTGGAAAAATTGTTGTTTTTGGAGGAGATTTCAGACAGATACTTCCAGTTGTTCCAAGAGCGGGGCGTTCTGATATTATCCATGCATCAATATGCTCATCATATGTATGGGACTATTTTCAAGTTCTAACACTAACAAAAATATGAGTCTGCAACAAGGAAGAGATAATACAAGTTCGAATGAATTAGATGAGTTTTTAAAATGGATCTTAAATGTTGGGATGGTAAGATATGTGAACCAAATGATGAATTGGTTGAGATAGAGATTCCTCAAGAATTATTGATATCCAATTTTGATGATCCTATAAAAGCTATTGTTGATAACACATATTCTAATTTGTGTGACAATTTTCAGGATGTTGGCTACTTACAAGGAAAAACTATTCTTGCATCAATCATTGAAGTTGTGGACATAATCAACCACTATGTACGGGATATGATACCAGGCAATATAATTTTTACTTTAATCTATATATATGCACACAACTTCCAACAATAAATTTATATCATGTTGATTCTATTAATGTATTAATATTTTCACTTCATGACATTTTTTAGGAGAAGAGAAAGAGTATCTAAGTTTCGATTCAATTGATAGAACTGATACAAGTTATACTAAAGCTTATGAAGTTCTAACCCCAGAATTCCTAAGTAAACTAAGAACATCAGGGCTTCCAAATCATATGATCAAATTGAAGGTTGGTACCCCCATCACGCGAATGAGAAATTTGTATCAAACTGATGGATTGTACAATGGAATAAGATTAATTGTTACAAGGTTAGAAAATCACGTCATTGAGGCCAAAATTATGTCAGGAAAGAATATAGGTAACATTTTTACATTCCTCGAATGTCTATGTCACCTTCCGAGTCACCGTGACCATTCAGGTTGATTAAGAGACATTTCCAATCATTGTCTCATATGCAATGACAATTAATAAATCCCAAGGTTAATCGTTTGATAATGTCGAATTGTATTTGCCTACACCTGTTTTTAGTCATGGAAAATTGTATGTTGCAATTTCGAGAGTTACAACTAAAAGCGGTCTTAAAATCTTAATACATGACAAACAGAACGTGTTCGACCGCTACGAATATTGTATACAAAGAAATCTTCCAAACACTTTGTTAAGAGATAATCCTTTTCACATATTCCTTTGTGATACAAATTAAATTCCAATATTTAATTTATGTGTTTAAATACCACATATTTACGTTCGTTTTTAAAAAATATTTAATATTTAATATCTAATTTGATACATTTTCTCATAAATATCGAAAAAAACAGAGGTGTGTGGTCACTTTTGTGAACCCAAAACCCTTAACCGAATAAAATCCTAACTGATCTAACCGCCCCATCCTTATTTTCATCCGCCTCATTGCTCTCTTCTTCGTTATCTCTCTCGCATTTCCTTCTGTTCATCGCTTCCCCTGTTTCAATTTTCTTTCCCGTAGCAAGATTGTGCATCTAGCCATTGACACATAAATGTTGATCTTTCTGGTTTGATTACTCTCTTGACCGTGGATCCTTTGCTTTGTTACTTTTGCAGGACTCACAGTGCTATCAATTTTTGATGGTTTTTCATGTTTTACCTCGTATTGCCTATATGTCGTAACATTTTCAATTTGTTTACCCAATTTCACACATGCTCAAGTTCAAGCTGAATCAATCAAATTTGAATTCCAATTCTGATTGATTCTACCTAGAACCAATGTTGACCCTCTCCAAGTTGAAGAAATCATTCCACACCCCTTGCTTATGCGGGTTCCGCAGAATCCACAACAATTCCTCCGATCAACTAGCTCTTCGTTTCTGCATCTGGGTTGCTCTCAAATTCGACACTCTTACCAGCAAGCCCTATTACTTGGTTAGTCGCGTCCTTATCCAAAAGAAATGGCATTCCTTTTACTGGGAAGCTCTTGAGCTTCTCAAGAAAAAAGGGGTTTTAGTCACTTCAGATTCCGTTAGAGCTTTAGTTAGGTCTTATTCATACTTTGGTCATACCGAAAAAGCTATAGAGTCATTCAGTAAAATGCGCGAATTTGGTGTTATTCCTGATGCTCATATGTATAACACAGTTTTGAGAGATGTGTTGAAGGAAAAGTTGTACGTGCTTGCTTTTGCTTTGTATAATACCATGCTTAAGTCCAATGTTGATCCTAATGACTATACTTATAACATGTTGATTGATGGATTTTGTAAAAGTGGTAACATTAAGGGTGCACGTGAGATGCTTGATGAAATGCAGAAGGTTAGTATTGTTCCTAGTGTTGTATCGACTACTTCGATTCTTTATGGATTGTGTCGGGCGAATAATGTAGATGAGGCGCTTATGTTGTTTAATGTTATGAAGGAAAAAGATTGTCCACCGGATATGATTTCTTGTAATGTTGTGTTGAATGGGTTTTGTAAAATGGGGAGGTTAGAGGAAGCGCTTTCTTTTATATGGTTGATAAAAAGAGACGGTTTCTCGCTCAATCAAAATAGCTATAGTTCTCTTATTAATGCCTTTTTTAGGGCTAAGAGATATAGTGAAGCACATGCGTTGTATACGAGGATGTTTAAGGAGGGCTTTGCACCTGATGTTGTTTTGTATGCCATTATGATACGTGGTCTGTCAGAGGAGGGCAGGGTTGGTGAAGCTGCTAGGATGTTAGATGAGATGACTCAGATAGGTTTAACTCCTGATGCTTATTGCTACAATGCTATAATTAAAGGTTTGTGTGACACGGGTCTTTTGGATCGAGCACAGTCTCTTTGTCTTGAGATTTCTGAGCACAACGTTTACACGCATACGATTCTCATATGTGAAATGTGTAAGCAAGGAATGGTTGATAAAGCACAAGGGTTATTTAATTGGATGGAGTCGCTTGGATGTGTTCCATCGGTTGTGACCTTCAATGCGCTTATAAATGGATTGTGCAATGCTCATAAACTCGAGGAGGCAAGTCTTTTACTTTACAAGATGGAGATTGGGAGAAGACCTTCGTTAATCTTAAGCCTTTTTCAGGGTTCTGGTCAGATTTTTGATAGTACTAGTCTCCAGAAAAAAGTGGAGAAAATGTGTGAGGCCGGAAATTTTTTGGATGCTTACAAGTTTCTCACTCAACTTGCTGATAGTGGGGTTGTGCCTGACATTATTACGTACAACACTCTAATCAATGCCTTTTGCGGGGCTTATAATATTAAAGGTGCTTTCATGCTTTTTGAGGATCTGCAAAAGAAGGGTCTCTCACCTGATACTGTTACTTATGGGACACTTATTAATGGGCTATATAAAGTTGACCGAGAAAAGGATGCCTTAAAGATTTATGACCGTATGCAGAAGGCTGGCTGTGAACCCTCCCTTTCATTATATAAAGGGCTTATGACTTGGTTGTGTAGAAAGAGCAAGGTCTCGCTGGCGTTCAGTCTTTATTTGGAATATTTGAAGAGCCTTCCTAGTCGGGACAATGATTCAATCAGTGCGCTGGAGGAATATTTAGTTGGAGGAAAATTGGACCAAGTGATTCAAGGTTTACTTGAACTGGACTTCAGGGCCAGGGATTTTAAATTAGCTCCATATACAATTCTACTTATTGGATTCTGTCAGGTAGGAAGAGTATATGAAGCATTAATCATATTCTCTGTTCTTGACAAGTTCAATATCAAAATCAATGCTACAAGTTGTGTACATTTGATCAAAGGTCTTTGTAAAGAAGGGAGGCTAGATGACGCAGTAAACATATTTCTTTACACTCTTGACAAAGGTTTCATGTTGAGGCCAATTATTTGTAATCATCTCCTTGTGTTTCTTCTTGTTTCCCAAGATTACAAGGACTGGGCTATTGATCTTATTGGTAGGATGGAATCTTTTGGATACAGTTTATGTTCAAATGAATATAGCAGGACAGTGTATCTTATAGACCAATACCAAAAGAGAAAGCAAAGAAAAATTTATCTAAGAAGAGATTAAGTCATGTTGATTGATTCAGATGAACGCGTTTCTTTATGTGGCTCTTCATTGAATATCCCCATCTAGGAAACTGGTCGTGAATCAAGAGGCTCGCTACTCATTGTGATGAACCAACGGTGCCCTTTAACCCTTACAAGAATCAATTAAGAGGTATATTCTTGCATGCTGCCTTGCAAGGCTTTTACTTCAAACTAGGAAATGATATGTCTAACTAATACGGAATCTAAACAATTGATATTTCAGAATTTCTTTATTGCTTTATGATTTTTTAGAGCGATTGTGATATGGGAGTTGTTTTCTAGTACAACGAAATAGGCACATCCATTTTCACTTGGACTTTTGGTCTCTGTTAGGTACTTGGTTTGGGCCTAAGCCCACCAAATATGTCAAATAGAGGAATGAGTTATATTTGCTGATGTGGCTAGTTGGTTAGAGGCGAATAATAGTTATATAAAGGATAGGGATAGCAAGGGAGAGGATATTGAGAATTATTCAGTTAGGAACCGTAATGGTTTGGGCAGAGAGAGAATTGTCTCTTCTCCGAGGAGCTTTGCTCAGGGATTGCAGGGGGTCTATCTTGTGTTATAGTTATTGTTTTTCCATTAATAATATAATTTCTTTTCCTCTTGAATTTGGGTTCCTAACATTGGTCTGACCTACCGGATCTCGAGACGGAGTCAGTGAATTGCTAAAACCGGATAACTGTTGTAAATTATCGGAAACTTCTAGGTAATTGCCAGAAACTGTCAGAAACTATCGGAAACTGTCGTGTAACTGCCCGAAACTGCTGGAACACTGCCGTAAAACTGCCCAAAACTGTCGGAAACTTCCGTATAACTGCTGGAAACTGTCGAAAACTGCCGGATAACTATAAGGAGAGCCAGCGATGGAGGACGTTTGACTATGAAGAGGGAATTACCGGATTTTATGGGGACAGATCCTGTTGGTTGGATCTCTGCGGCTGAAAGTTCTTTGAGAAGAACAAAATTCATTCCGAAGATAAGTTGCAGTGGGCATTCATGAGCATGGAAGATGAAGGAGCGATGCTATGGTTTTATTATTTGTGCGAAGAGAATCCAAATGCTGACTGGAATTCACTTTCTATGGCTATGACTAGAGAATTTGGAGCACAAATGGTGCAAAATCAAGAATCTAAGCCGAAACTATGGAAGGTGACAGAAACACATGATGAGTCAAAGTTAGAGGAGATGAACTTCACTGTAGAACGAGAAGCAAAAGGTTATGCAAAAGTAGAATCCGACTCCAAAGAGATTGTTGAGATAGTGATGTAAACAGATTACCGAAAACGAGGAACAAAAGCGATGTGTGACAGAAGAATGAATGAGATGCAAAGAAGAAAGGAGCAGGCATTTGTTTTTGGGCCACCTCTGTTGCCGGAGCCACCGGACGCCGTCCTTTATGTGGTGGCGAACGAGATTCAAATAATAGAAGCGGTTGTCGTCGAACTCCAACCCCCACCGGAACTGCCAAACGCGGATTCGCATGCACGAATCTCTTCAAGCTCTGATCTGCAAGGAAGGAAAGATGGGTTCCATGGGTTGCTCAACTTTGTATTTGACAGAGGCAAGTTTTTGTGTCGATGAAAGATTTGGCAGCAAGAGATGCAATATCTCAGCCTTGTGGTCAAGGCTGCTTTTAAGGGGTGGGTATTGTTAGGTACTTGGTTTGGGCCTAAGCCCACCAAATATGTCAAATAGAGGAATAAGTTATATTTGCTGATGTGGCTAGTTGGTTAGAGGGGAATAATAGTTATATAAAGGATAGGGATAGCAAGGGAGAGGGTATTGAGAATTATTCAGTTAGGAACCGTAATGGTTTGGGCAGAGAGAGAATTGTCTCTTCTCTGAGGAGTTTTGCTCTGGGATTGTAGGGGGTCTATCTTCTGTAATAGTTACTGTTCTTCCATTAATAATATAATTTCTTTTCCACTTGAATTTGGGTTCCTAACCGTCTCTGACATGAGATACCCACAAAGTTTCTTTCAGTGTGCGTTTGATTATTCATTTGCACGTGTTCCAATGCATGGAAATGTATGAACATGTCGCTTGGTGCTTATAGAGAAATTATCGTTTGGGCTTGCTACCCCAATGGAAAGACAAACACGCACTATTTTATTTTTTGCTGTGGGATCGTTTTCTATTAAATTCATTAACATTTAAAATGTTTCCGTGATGTTGGGATTATTAATGTCATTATTATTGACAGTTTCGTTAACTTCTGGCAGGGCTGGCTGATTTTGTCGGGGCAATTTTTTGCTCTATTGTTCTGCATGATTGTCATCACATCTTATAGACCATTCATTTGAGGTTTTTTAAGGGTGTTTCAGTTTGTTGTATGCTTCAGAATATTTCTTTGTTTACACCTCATAGTCTCAAGCAAATAATGGCAATGAATACAGAAAGAAGACAACCATTTTCCATACGAACATTAGTTGTGGTGATATCTCATATAGTGTACACTAGTAGGTAAGGCTGTCTTTCTTAGTGTGTTTGGATGGAGTATTTTAATGAGGGAATGTAATTTAATGAAGGAATTTAAAATGATTTCATCAACATCCCTTGTTTGGATAAATAAATGACAGAATTTTTAAAATAATGGAATTTAATTTGATATTTTATGATGACTAATTTTTGAGAATTTACAATTCTAGCTATTTTGATAAAATTGTGAATTCCATCGTTCTCTCTCTATCACACGCGTTTAGTTTCAGATCTAGCTCACTTCTCTCTCATGGTGTTCTTCTGTTAGATTCAGATCTCAGATTCTCCTCTCAGAAGCTTCTCAATCGTTCGCTTTCTCCTTCTGGTTAGAGCAATCTTTCACATATCACATTATAGATTGCACAGTTAACCATTTGCTATTTAAATAGAAAAAAGGGCTTGAAACCTTTTGCCATTGATTGTGTTCTTTTAAATAGATTAAAAGCATGGAAGCTTTGAAAAGGACTGACGTGGTCATCAATTTGGGATCTGCTTCTGGTCTTTATCCAATGTATCTTTCTTGATCCTATCTATAGTGGTTCTAAAGGTTTGTCATTTAACAATGAATTATGCATCTCCACAAAACTTATACTAACTTACTATTGCTTCCTGGAGTACCCTCTACTCTTAGTATTATATCATTTTTTGTTTTCCCAAAAATTAACTTGCTATAGTTTCCTAAACTGTTTCTTCACTTCACAGGTGTTGTTGTTATGTTTACTAGAGCACTTTGTTTATACAAACGTCAAGGAATCTGAGTCAATGTGCTTTTCGCTGAGGTACGACTTGTTTTAGGACTTGAAAAAATGAATATCTGTTTTCATATTATTACTCTAACCTATAAAAATTTTAGATTCCATTGTTTTTACTTTTTATTTCACCTTAAATCGTTAAATTCTAAGTTATATTACAGTTTACTATATAATCCCCCAAATATTAATGTTTAGTGCAGTTTGTTGAAACTGAGATGGGCTTAAAGGTGGATCCCAAATTCCTTAATATGATGGGGGGCTTTATACCTATATGGAAATGGTGGTGAAAGGTAAGTCTACATATCGTTTTGTTATTTGGTGCGCCTTGGCAAAAAGAGCGTGAGTGTTTGTACTTTGTAGACCTTTGAATAAAAAATGAGAATTAGTACGAAACCCATTTCTTCAATACATCAAACTTCACTTACCTTCAGCCGAACTTCGAACTAGTAGGCCTCCCTTCCCAAGGTTTAAGACAAAAAATACACATTATGAGAACATTTAGAAAGTAAAAAACACACATGATGAGAATGTCTCTTAGTTTTTTTGACAGATGAGTGTCCCTGAGTTAATAATTTAGTGATTGGTCTATATTTCTTATCATGTATACATGAATTTTGATGTGAAAATATTTTAACCTCTCAAGGTGCTTTTGAGCTCATCATGGATGAGAGTAAAGCCGGTGATTGCCTATGGATTACTAATCATCAAGGTCTGGAGTATTGGCCAAACCCCATCAGAAGAGGCAAAGCACACAATACATTCTACACATCCCAGGAGAAGAACTGAATACAAAGCTCCATCAGTTAAACTACCCGAGAGTTTTGAGAAAATGTGTGTATTTCTACTCTTATTATCTTGTTATGACACGCATTACATGTATGCCTCTAGAAGGTGTTTATTTTCTTTTTCTATAGTATTAGAAAAGGTGCAATTACATATTTAAATTGGCTGTGAGTTCTTCCTTTAAAGATGAGTTATTTAGTGGTTTCATATTGCTGCTCTCTGTTTGCAGAGTTGTTCATACCTTGACTCACAACTTTCGGAATGCTACCGGCTTAGTGAGAGCACCACTGAGATTACCTATCAAATCAAACTATGTTCTTGTTAAGATCATTTATGCTGGTGTAAATGCTAGAGATGTAAGTTTTTACGTATTTCTAGAGGATTTGTGAGTTTATTTTCTAGCTAGAATTCTGACAAGAATTTGTATTGATAGGTAAATTTTAGCTCATGCCGCTATTTTGGTGGCAATAACAATGACACTGCAGCCGTCTTCCATTCAATGCAGGATTTGAGGTATGATGTATCCCCAAACGTAGATTTCTTTTATGAAGCTGATCAATTGATGCAGTATGCCTATACTCATATGTGTGCTGAATTTCATTTATATTTTAGGCCATGAGAATAATTGCAGTAGTTGGGGAATCTGTCACTGACTTGAAAGTTGGCATGCAGTGTGCATTCATGACTTTTCGCCTCTCGACAAATATAAATTCCATAACCAAAAACCTTTTAGCCTCAGATTTCATTTGAAATGCAGACGTGGTCAGGATCTGTTTGCTGACTGTGTCATGTATACCACCATGGACTGGTTATATATAAGGTCATAACTTATAACATATATCTAGGGTTTACTTTCGCCATTTGGTTCCTACCGTCTTGCTTATTTCTTCTGTCCCTACCGTCTTGCTCATTTCTTCTCTCCCTACCGTCTTGTTCATTTCTTCTCTCCCTACCGTCTTGTTCATTTCTTCTCTCCCTACCGTCTTGTTCATTTCTTCTGTCGCGTCTTCCCTCAATTTGTTCCCCGAAATTGATCATTATAACCCTAAGACGTTCAAATGGAGACTAGCAATAGTGTTGGAAGTTGCAATTCGTACGGGCATTCAAAGGTTCTTAGATGCGGATGTTGTCTGATGAAGATCTGGGTTGCTAACACCGTAAAAAATCGTAATAGAAAATTTTAGAAATGTAGGAATGTTGGGGTAAGTACTTGAATCTATGAATTTTGTGAAATACCTAAACCTTTTATGGGGTTAATGTTGTTTTTGTTTGCAGATGGATAATAGCGGATAATAGCTGTGATCTGTTTATTTGGGATGATAAAATTGTTCACTCCATTGGTGAAATCTCAAATTCTTAAATTTATTGCAAACACTGATGTGACAATCGTGAAGTTTGATATGACAGAAAGAAAACTGGAAAAATCCAAGTTGAATAGGAAAATATTCCAACTAAATATGGCAATTTTGATGTCTTGGTTTATCTTTGAAGTGTTGTACAACTATTTGTAATTTGAAGTGTAATGTGCATTTATCATACTCCAAATTTGCCATACCCTTATATTATATTTAGGATTCTATTTAAATAAATTATATTATATAATTTTTATTTTTATGGGAGAGTAAAACATAGAAAAGGGGTGTGTTGATTTAAAATGAACCATCAATATTTGATGGCCCATTAGATTTTTAAAAGAGAGGTTCATTTCAAGTTAAGAAGCAGGGTATATATTGCAAGTCAGGAAGGCCCATATAGGGCACATTTTTGTTAGACCAAATATTTAAAAAAAAAAACAGGGGTCCTTTTCAATTTTTGAAATTGTTTTGAAAAATAATATTTTGTTTTAAACATTATTATTATTACTATCAACATCACTATTATTTTTACTATTATTAAATTATACTAATATTATTATTATAAATCAGTATATTCTAAACACTTAATTAGAAAATGTTGTTTTATTTTATTAATGAAAAAACATTTGATTAAGAGAAAGCTAAGATTAGACTTTCTTCACACAGTTCAACTCTCTGCTGCCATCTAAAACCCAAGCCCAAAAATAAGATAACATTTTTTTAGGCCTGAAAGGAACAAACAAACACTGTGCTAATCATTAAAAACAACAACACATTTTTTAAAGCCTGAGAACAACTAGTGTTCAAATTTTGGAAAAGAAATCGAATCGAGTAGCAAAATAGAAACAAGATCAAGCTAAAAACAGAAATTAATTGAATCTTCGTCAATACAAAATCAATACATTTACAACAAGATCAAATTACAATCAAAACAATAATTTTTATTTCCTAATCAACTAACCCCTAAACTGCTATAAAATCTAATTAAAAAAACAGAACGTGGAGGGAGAAACTGTTACAGTGAAGATTATTACAAGGGAGGAAAAATTGACAGAAAAAACTGTTGCAGGGGGGGACAAAATTTGAGAAGAATTTTGAGGAAGAAACTAAGAAGTAGAAGAAGTAGACAAATCTGCCTTCTCGAAGAAAGATCTGAGTTTCAACTTCTGAAGCCCTAGATTTGATAGCCCACCACCGCTTTCACCATCATCACCATCCTTCGTCACCCGCGAAAATGAGAAAAGAGAAGAGATCAGAATCCAGAATCAAAGACTCAAAGAAGCACGATGAGGTATTTCTTTTGAAACTTAGCTTAAGGTTGTTGTTCTTGAATTTGTTGTTGTGATTATGATTGAGGTTGATGAAGGTTGTGCCACCACTAGACCTTCGTCGTTAGAGTTTGACATTCTGGGTTTCTGGGTTGAGGTTTTTCTTTCTCTATTGTATGTGTTGTTAGGTTAGAAAGAAAGAAGAACGAGAGAGAGAGAGAGAGAGAGAGAGAGAGAGAGAGAGAGAGAGAGAGAGAGAGAGAGAGAGAGAGAGAGAGAGAGAGAGAGAGAGAGAGAGAGAGAGAGAGAAGAGAACATGGGAGGAAAATGAAGATAAATGAGGAGAAATAAAAAAAAATAGAAAGTTATACTCTCTATGCGTGATTCCCCTCTGTTGCGACTCCATGCCTCTTTACCATGCGCCCGCGGTTATACCCCTACGATCTCAATCAAACGCATTATACTGCACGCGATCACTATAGCATCATGCGTGCGTCCACGTGCAATCTCAACGACCCATGAATCCTGTTAGGTCTCTTGATCAACTTTCTGGCCAAATGCCTTTATTATTCACATCCTTCTGTTCCTTATTCTTTGCTCGTCAGGCCAAACACGTATCCCCCTATATTTCTGGACTTAGATCTAATATCTGGATCTAAGACCCATGCTTTTAACACCCCACTATTTTACTAATCTAATATAATTTAAACCCCCTTGCGTTTTAATTTATTTTCTTCTTTATTTATTATTTTGTAATTTTTATATTTATATATTTATAATTATAATATTATATTATTTATTATTATCACATTTTTTTTTAATTTTTTAAACTCATTCAAATATTATTTATTTTATTGTATTAAATTATTTCTTAACTATGCATTAAGTAATTTTTTTAAATAATTAACACTTTTAAATTTTTTTAACAAACATCAAATTATTTTTCATAATAAATTAATTAAACAATTAATTTTTAGAAAATGTTTACGAAGCATATTTTAATCAACTGCGCGCTTAGTTCAAAATTTCTACTATTCACACATCCGGGCTAATTGCGAGGGAAATTAAAATATCTGCGTAATCTATAAAAAACACAAACCTACCGCGAGCTACAATATGAGACTCTGATTCCTCCTAAGAGGATACGTAGACATACAATCAAAACTCGTGGCGAGTTCCTCTAATTAAAATCAAAACCCTTTTTCTCCTAATTAAAATTAAAACCCTATTCCCTAAAGATTACGCTTCTAAATCTAACATCCTTGTGAACAAGGTAGATGGGAGGTGCCTAACACCTTTCCTTCGTCTAGAACCGAGTCCAAAAACCTAGAATCTCTAACTTTTAGGGTTATCCCTTTATATCCTTTTCCTTAGAATAAAAATTAAGGGTGACGACTCTGATTTAAAAATCAACTGCAACAGCTGGCGACTCTGCTGGGGACTCAACCCTAGGTTTAAAAGCCTCTCCTTTAAGTTTTAGATTTTTTTTTGGATTTTTATTCTTTCTTATTTATTTATTTATTGCTTATTTTGTTTTTATTGTTCATTATATTTATTCATTTGTGGTGAAATTTAAATTTTGTAAAAATTATTTTCAAAAAAAATCCTTAGAAAGAAGGTTCGTATATTAGCCAAAGGGATACATCAGTCCTATGAGTTCATGTGACGACTTCGCCTAGAGTCGGTGGAATCCCGCAAAAGGAATACCTCTCGAGAGACATCCTTTTGGGAAGTAGGACTTTGGAATGACACCTATGACTCTTTGTACAACTAAATTAAAATCTCATGATGAGACCTTTCATGACCTAGAGACAAAAGTTTTGGTCTGTAAAGAGGCTCCACTTAAGGGAGATCCTTGTGCCTTTTCCTCTAGTGTTATTCATGATACCCTTAAGAAAACCACCTTATAGGGAGGGTAGAATATCCGTATACCAATAATAAGAACCTACCTTCTAAGGATACCTTTCATAAGATCTCACCACTAAGCCTTACATTCTTGCATTCATACATTTTTGCATTTCATACACTCATTATCCTCTTTTTTCTATTGTTTGTCTCATTCAAAGGATTAAAAAAGGACAAGTTGAAGGTTTTAGTGAGTGTCTTAAAAATAAATGCCAAGGGAAATAATTTATCTGTCAAGCCAGATATGACAAAGATAATAATCATTAAGGTGAAACTGCCTAAGAGAAATGTGAAGAAATTAATGCTTCCAATAGTTTCTTTTTTGTTCGAATAATTTTTTTCAATATCTGAAATGTATTACCTTTTGAGGAGGTTATTAATAAAACAATTTTTTTTCCATATTCAAACCGCACACTTATTTTTAAGATATTCACCAATAAAAAATAAATAAAACCTGGAAAATAAATATATATATATATATATATATATATATATATATATATATATATATATATATATATATATATATATATATATATATATATATATATATATATATATATATCCAAGTGAATAAGATATTCAAAAGTAGAAACCCTAGCATATTCATACATATTCATACGCATGCATTCACAGACACCTGCATTTCATAAAAAAAACTTATTTTTTTTCAAAATTCTCTAGTTAAACCATTTGTAGAAGGAAGCCATCACCTCCCTGGCCACCCTATCAGACAAGAGCCCACCAACTGAAAGCGATGGAAAAATTGAGGAGAACTAAGCTGCATTCATAGAAGATTTGGAGCAAGTCAAAGGCAACGTCGACTCAATGAGAGAAGACATGAGCCAAGTTTTCCTAGTCTTGAAGAAAATTATTGAAAGACCAGAACAAATGCTTAGGGAAGCCTTTAAATAAATAGCTCAGACCATCGGTGCATCAAGCGGTCACCAACTAAGAAAAGAGCCAAAAGCAGGACTTTAAAAATCAACCATGGCTCAGCGAGAGACAAGGCAAGCTGAGACCGAAGGGTTTGTCCCACCTCCACCGAAGGTAAGGGCATCCCATACCATGCAGATTCCGATTAACAACGC